TAGATGCAGGGCATGAGTCCAAGATTTGGGGTTGGGGCGGAGGCAGTAGCTTTACCAATGCTGGGAACTTCTAAACAGTCCTGGCTGAGCTGTTGCTGCTGTATGCTCTCCCCAACCCAGCTTTGTTGCTCTTAAAGCAATCGCAGTTGGGAACTCTTTTAAAGTTCCTGGTCTGGCGATACTGCCAGAGCACAGACTCCATGGGGACAGAGGGCAATTCTGGTGCCCTTTCTAACTTGGCATCTGGGGCTGGTGCCCTTTTGCCAACCTCTAGTTATGCTACTGCCTGTAAGGCCTGAATGGTCACCATGCTCCCACCCCACCCATGTCCAGAACTGCTATCTGGAATATTGGCTAGGAAAGTATTTGTTCTGTTAACACCCAAAGAGTTCTTGTGATCACCCTCAGATGAAATCTACTGCCAGAACACCAATACCAGAAATACTGGTCACTATTAACATGGTGTGACACCCCCTGGGTGGGGGAAGCTGCATGAAAAGAGTCCAAGTCCAAAGGGGAGTTGTCTTCTTCCAGTAGTCTGTAGGGGTTTATTAACAGTTACTGATTAAACTTTTGCAGTGCTAGTTTTCTAACCATTTAGCATTGGCTGTTTTCTGTGTCTCAAGCTATTTTAGATCCTTAATTCCATACCACTGTGGTCTTCTAGATATCAGCGTCTCCAGATGTATAGTAACAAGTCTCTGGGTATTTCTTCACATGTACTGTTCTAGTAGTTGATAGTGGTGGCCTAATTGCACCAGCACATTCTACTTTCTAAGGTGTGACCCCTCTGCTTGGGCAGTTCTGCCACCACTGGCTTTTTTCTTTCCATGCTACCTGAAAATATCATCTTGCCTAGGACCAATTCAGAAAATGGTCTCTCACATCTGACCTCTAGGACACCTGTGAATAGCTCTCATCTTGGCATACCCTATTTCCCTAGTCACATCACTAGTAATATTTTGAAGTACATCAGCTATAAAGGAGTCACCCTGAGGATTCAGTTAAGAGCTGATACTTTTAAGACCTGCCTCTACATACGAAAATCTGATCCACACTTTTCTCCAGTATGTTCTTCTCCTTCACCTGTGAGTTATGAAGTTTTCCTATTAAACCACTTATAAATGGAGTTTTCATGTAGAATTCTCACATGGCTGCCAGTGGGCTTATTGCTGTCTTCCCAATCCTTGGTCCATATTTAAGTGCAGCAGCTTCTGTTTCACTGTCTGATCAGGGTGCTTCAGGGAAAGCCCTATCAAAAAGCCCCCTCAGTTCATATCAATAATTATATAGGAGTTCTTTACCTGCTGGCTCCTGGCTTGTCTTTCTTTTCAGTCTTTCAGAATACTTAATCTGCCCTCACAACAGCTATTTAGTATTTGTGGAAATATCTCAAGCCCTAGGATCTGCACTGGAAGCTTTGGCATCACCATCCAAAAGCCGTGCAAGATACTGGGCTGCATTCTGATCAGTCTGCATGTTCACAGCGAGTGAGATCTTGGAGTGACGTGCTCATCAAGCCTTGCTTCAGTTCCATGGTGAGTGCCTTTCTTCTTGGGCAATGGTGCTTTGACATCTTAAAGCCACTACCACCAGCTGAAACACCCACTTAATGAAATGAAAGGGTTCACTGGGGCACTGCAATTGATAACAGTATATAAAATGGCAATTTAGTGTTAGGTGAGAGCACAAACACCACCTACTGGTAGAGGCACAGGTTGCACTGATCATCACTGGATCTGCAGGTCTCAGACCAGTGTGTGGAAGGAAAGCTGTTTTTCCTAAGCCTGTCCACCCAGTGGAGTCCTGATTACAGAGCTGGAGAGACTTCCACAAGAGTTGAGGAAGGGTGTGGGGGGAGTATACTATTAGATCTGAGAGAATGACCGATTTTTCAGGTATAAGCTAGATTAAAATTTTAAAGAGAAATTCTTTTAAGTCTATCTGAAAGGAAATATTTTCCCACCCACTGAAACGGGAAAAACAACAGTAATATTAAAAAAAATTAATTTTAGATCCATTTTGAAAAGAGGTTATTTCAATAGAAGCATTGAGTTAAAAACAGTAAAACAAAGTTCTGGCTTTTTATTAAAAATAGTTTGGCAAGCACCTTTTCAATAAATTCAACATGAACCTGCAAATAGATTTACTTTACTCAACTCTTCAGTTTTTGGTGAAAAAAGTATTTGATTTAAAATTTCTAGTTCTAACTAGTAGGCTTGTGCAAATAGGGAAGTATTCGATTTGGATCTGGCCAATTTGGAGGACAGTGATTTGATTTGAAGATTCGGATCGCTGATCTGAATCAATTCAGCTGAATCAGCTTCAGAAGATTTGGCGCCGATTCGGAGAGATTCGGTGATTTGGATCGGCTGGGGAGAGGCAGGCACAGCCGGGTAGCTGCAGGTTCTTCTGTGGCTCCTCCAGCTGTGCCTGCCTCTCCCTGGGTGGGGGAAGTTGCCCCCATGCCCCCCGGTCCGTGCCCCAGCCTATTTTTGGGCTTTAAAAAAAAAAAAAAAAAAAAGCTCTGTACTTACCGGCTGCAGGAGCAGCGATTGGGGCCTGAGGGCACTCATGGCAGAGCCCGCCCCCCCCCGCACAGCACGGAGCAGTAGGGGGCAGTGGGGATTGCCCCCCCCGCTTGGCACCAGCGCGGCAGTTGTCCCATGGCATGAGTACAGCGCATTTCCACAGAGTGCTGCGCACTGTCTGGGAGCTGGGGCCGTAGGCTGCTGGGCTCTGGCTGACTGCTGGAGCTGCCCCAGCTCCCAGTGCCCTACCAAGCACTGCTGCACCTGCATGATGTGACAAATGCTGCCTGAGCGCTGCATGGGGGTGGGGGGTGGGCTCTGCCATGAGCACCCAGAGGCCCCAGTTGCCGCTCCTGCAGCCAGTGACTGTGGAGCTTTAAAAAACCAAACCGAAACAACAACAACAAAAAAGCCCCGTACTCATTGGCTCTGGAAGTGGTGATTGGGGCCTCTGGGCACTCATGGCAGAGCCCCACCATGCAGCGTGGGAAAGTGGGGAGCAGCAGGGATCACCCCCCCTTGGCACCCGCGTGGCAGCTGCCCCATGGCGTGGGTGCAGCGCGGATCGGCAGGACACTGCGCACTCTCTAGGAACTGGGGCTTCACGGTGCTGAGCACCAGCTGACACACAGAGATGCCCCAGCTCCCAGACAGCGCGTGGCACCCTGTCAAGCAGTGTAGCACCTGCAACATGGGGCAGCTGCCACGTGGGTGCCAAGCTGCCCTGCCCAACCCCATTCCCTGTACCCCACTGTCCCATGCTGCACAGTGCGGGGGCAAGGCGGTGGGGGCTCTGCCACAAGCCCTCAGAGGCCCCAGTCGCCGCTTCCAGAGCTGGTGAGTGTGGGGCTTTTTTTTCTTTTTTTTTTTAAAGTGTGGGGAGGCTGGGGATGGGCGGGGGATGGAGCCAGGCAACGCAGCCATGGGGGCTTCTCCCACAGCTCCTCTTCTATACAATGAGCATTACTGCAGACCATAATTCTTCACATTCTCATAAGATACTGTAACAATGAAGAAACAGTTGCTACTTTATAAACATCATATGATTTTCTACATATACTAAAACTATTCAGCAGAAAGGTTTTAATTATTTGGAGCTGTTGTTTTTCTTTTTAACTTTTAAGGCATCTAAACTTAAAATTCTACTCATATATACAGCTCTGCAGTTTCAAAAGAGATTAGTGATTTTAGCTGCCTCATTTTGGGGGTTGCCAACAAGAGGTGCCTTAAATGGATTTGTTTTCAGAGTGCATGTACTCAGCACTTTCTGAAAGATTAGTTCCTCAATGTGTGTTTCATGTCATGATACATATCTAAAAACCAAGGTACCTTAATTCAGTATTCTCTCGTGAAAATTTACGCCACAGTTCCTCTCACATCAGATGCGCTTACTTTAAAAAAATATTTAAAAGAAAATTCTTCTTTTACAAGGAAAAAGCGACACTGAGCCCCAGGTAGTCTTTGCTAGTATTACTTTTTTAGTGCATTTTGAATGTGTAATTTGGAAATATCAGTGTTCAGACTTTTTTTTTTAAACTTACTGTAAATGTAGGGTTTGCTTAGTGTCCTGCAGTAGTTGCCAGGATTGGATGCTTTACAGGCATATGGAAATAATGTGCTATGAACATTTTTGGTTATCATGGAACTGATTATAAATCCCCAATTCTCTGGCTGGCTCAGCACCAAAGTGCAGGCAGTGAGTCATCTTCTGTCACCTCTGATGGGGTTCCACAACTGTTGTGTTGTGCAAAAATCAGCTATTTAAAAAAAATATGACATGCTGGTAGTTTTATTCTGTAGGACTCCCTGCCACTAGATACCATGAAAGCCCAGAGCTTAATGAAGTTAAAAAAAAAAAAGATTAGGTGTATATACAGGCAAAGATATTCATAGATCATCTACTCCTGCATTACATAGGGTAAAATATATGTTGTCATCAATGCATGTTCCTCATTGAATAAGCCACCAATTTGCTCCATGACATTAGGAACAAGCCACCTATCTCAGCTATGTTACTTACAAATATGAGAGGAACAGGATACTGAACTAGGACGGCCCATTCATCTTTTCTGGCATGATGATTCCTACATTCCCAAGTGGAAGTGCTGTGGCTAATATATCCAAGCCTGCCTTACATATCTACAGGAACAAGATTACAACTCAGAATACAGACCCTAAGATATTACTGACCTTATACACTTCATCCTCTCACACAACAATTTCACTTTTAATAATCAACACTTCCTCCAGATGATGGGAACAGCTATGGGCACTAAAATGGCCCCACAGTATGCCAACCTTTTTATGAGCCACCTGGAAGAAGACTTCCTCAAGAACTGCACCATCAAACCCTTGCTATACTTAAGATATATCGATGACATCTTCATCATTTGGACTGAAAACCTACAATCTCTGATTGAGTTCCATCAGAAATTCAACAACCACCATCCCTCCATCCAACTTTCTCTAGAATACTCCAGCACCAGCATCTCCTTTTTAGACACGATGATCAGCATCCTGAATGATAAAATACAGACCACGTTATACAAGAAACCCAAAGACCAACATACATATCTGCACAGAGCCAGCAATCACCCCAAACACACCAAAAAAGCTGTGATATACAGCCAAGCCCTCAGATACCACCGCATCTGTACTGAAGAAAACACCCGGGATTGCCACCTCACCAATCATAAAAAGGCTTTCACCCAGCAAGGACACTCCTCCAGAGAAGTAGATCGCACGTTTGAAAGAGCCACCTGGATACCACGTGAAGAACTGCTGCAGTACAGAAGAAAACCCCCCACAAATCGCACACCGCTGGTTATGACCTATCACCC